ATGCTACTTTAGCAAAAGTCAATATTAAAGGTGTTTCTCCTATACGTTATGGCAGTATTAATAAGGGTATTCACGTGCGTGATGATATAGTAGACTCTTGTAATATTAAAAAAGAGATATTATCTAATGCAAAGTCTGAAAATGGGTATTTTGTTGTGCCAAAAGTAATAAGTGATTAACTAAAGTTTGTTTCAATTAATAAGCACAAAGTAAAAGGCAAATCGTTCAGAAATATACTAGGGAAACATATGATCATAGGTTTAACTGGTGGGGTGGGGGTAGGTAAGAGTTTTGTTGCAAGTTGTTTCAAAAAATTAGGTGCTGCTATATTCGATGCTGACTTTGTTGTACATCAGCTCTATAAGGTAGATAAGAGTATAATCAATTATGTAGACGAGACCTTTCGTGGGGTTATTCACGACGGTAAAATAGACAGGTCAGTACTGTCAAAATACTTTTTATCTCATGATAAATATTGGATAGAATTTGAAACCTTAGTTCACTGTGCTGTTTTTCAGAAGCTTAGATTTTTTCTTGCTCAAGAGAGGAGAGTTGGCAGAGAATTTTTAATCTTAGATATTCCTCTTTTGTTGGAGACAAAGTTCCATTCGGATTGTAATTTTATTATTTTTGTTCATGCGAATAGATTGATACAAAACCAAAGACTTAGTAGGCGTAACGTGGATGAGAAAAAGTTAACTCTAATGTGCAGTAGTCAACTTTCCTTGCGGTTAAAAAGAAAACTGAGTAATTTTACTATCAATACTGGTGTTAACAAAGGATATGTTTTTTCTCAAGTAAAAGAAGTTCTTGCAGTTGCAAAAACTGCAAATTTTTCTACCTCTTGTTAGCTTTTATACTCACTTCTTTTCTAACTTTACCTTGCATTACCTTGCCAAACTAACTTTTTTTTGTATATCATCCAATCTTTCAGCACTTGCACAAGCAATTAAGCTTGCAAAAGGCTTCTTGATACTTTCTTACAATCTTCCAATAATTTTTGAGCACGGCAAGCATTAAGCAAAGTTACTGGCAAGTCATCATATTGCTGAGATGTGCAATAATTACGACCATTTAGTTCCGTTCTCAATATTTCTAAACATTCATAAACAGACTTTTCTACAACTCATTGATTTATATTTTATCTAATCTTATAATTTCTTCTTTTGTATTTCTAATGCTATTATCACAAAAAATTACGTATTGTATTTATACAATACCATACTTATATCTACTATTAACTTTATACCTACTTT